TGGAGATGTTTAAAAATTTATGACGTCACGCCACAGCAGTTGATGTCAGTCACGTGGTAGGGAGTTTTGTGAGGGTCTTGTGCAGTTGCTCGGAAGTGATTGGTTGGCAATTTTGCTTTTTTTTATCATTTTTGTCTAGTGCTCGTTTAGTTGCCATCTTTTTTAACGTTTTCTTTGTTTAAAGTTGTTCACTCTTTTAGATCCTTTCTCTTAGGCTAATCGTGATATATTTGGCTGAACTTGTCAAAATTAAAATACGGGTCACAAATAACGTCTCAATTGTTTTGAATTTGTTTGCTTATTTTACAAAACAAGGCGCATGTTTTTCATACGAAATTAAAAATTTCATCTTGTCGCAAAAAAAGCCAAATGTTTGTAAATTTAAAAAAAATTGTTAAACAAACTTGTGCAACAGCAAACAAACACTTAAATTTTAATTTTACACAGAAATTGTTTTTTTTATACAATTTTGTTAATGTAACAATGCATTCTATTAATGCATTCATATAACACTGAGGTTGTATTTAAAAAAACGACAACATTAATTAAATATCCACAAATTCAAAATCAACTCCAGTGACATGAGCAATGTTTTACAAGTAAATAAAAAGCTATAGCAAATTCAAAATATATTAAAACATAATCAATGAAAACGAAATCAAGCGATTTATTGTATGTGTACAGATGCAAATTTCTATATAAATAACGTACAAAACAAAATTTAAAAAAAATCAATCCGTTATAAAAGATTCCAGGTAGGCGAAGAGTTGAAGCAGATCATTCCACCTACCAGCTGTTGTATCTAATATGCAATTGATTGGTTGCAAGCGGAAATTTTATAATATAAAATAGAGCTGTATTTAAATTCGACTCCGGCCAAACTTTGACCATTTTTCCAAATACGTCGCCGGCCAAACTTTGGCCGTTTCTTCAAATCCGGCTTCGGCCAAATTTGGCCATATTTCGGATTTTGCCTATTTTTGTTACTTATAAGGAATAACATTTTTTTTCAAAACTTTGATTGAAACGTTTGCTCCATTTTGAAATATGTTCAGATAAAATAAACAAATAAAAATGGTGAATGTTTGTTGCTGTCTTTGTTAGTCTCTTTTTGTGAACCAAATTGTTGATTGCGTTGTGCCTTGTTGAATGTTTCTTGCTGTTTAACAAGAAAATTATGAAAATATGTTAATAAATTGACTTAATAAACTTTTTATTAATAATATCATCATTATTATTGCTATCATTTTGTTAATATTTTTATTATTATAAAATAATGTGAATAATAACAATAATAATATTTTTAGTGTTGTTATGTGTCTAATGCTTGTCCACACCATTGAACAAACTTTTTATTTCTGTTTTTATTATTAGTATTATTATTTTTATTGCTATTATTCTCGTTATTGTTTATTTGTTGTCCTCGCGAGATGATCTTCAATTCAAGTTATATCACTGGTTCACTATTAATGATAATAAGGAGAATAACAACAGCGATGATGATGATGAGGATGATGTTGAACCATGATTGATGACTCTCTTGTTTAAAAATAATTCATAGTCTATCAGTCTCAGGGACCACGACTTTATCAACAAAAACATTTACAATTACGTACATGAATTTGTGTGTCTGAGTGTGTACACGCGTGTTTGTGTGTACTTGGACTGTGGAATTGGACTGTCTTAAAAAAGGCAAAATGCATTTCGTGCAACAACATGGATTGGTTCCAAAACTCTGCTTCATTTTTCCAAATATTTTAAAAAATATACAATTGTTAAAAAATTCCCACTACAGAGTATATTTTATATATTTGAAAATTGTTGGATTAAATAGTGGGCGAGTAGAAAGTGCCACAACAGATTGTTTTCAGTCTCCTTGCCCCTCAAGGTAGCCCGAAGTATGTCTATACGTGCCTGTATGTGACAACATTCCTCATAGAAAATATCTGTCAACATTTGAAGAAGAGTTAAGTGAAGTGTTGGAGGATGTGTGTATGTGTTGTGTGTGTATGTGTGTGTGTAGGTGTGTGTAGGTGTGTGTAGGTGTGTAGTGCATGTGTGCATGTGTTGGTGTGGGTGGTTATGTTTAGTGTGCGAGTGTGCATGTATTAATGATTGCATGTCTTTTTGCAGGTGAATATTGTAGCATCTATGAATAACTGGAAGCATCTTTCCCTAGCATGTCTTTAAAGTTGCCTCGTAACATTACATTGATGTTGTGAATGCCATCTCAGGGTTCCACTTGTGTGTTAATAATTAATACAACTTGTTGTTGAAAATATCTTCAGTTGTCGTTGGTAATTTGCATCAATTAGCAATTGTCGTTTTACAGTTGCCAGTTTGTTTCATTCACAACATTCTTGTTGTGACATATAAATATGTCATGAAAGTAGAGGACAACAATATAGATAAGTATAATATGTATATAATAGATAGATTACTATTGTGGGTGGATAGGTTATAATTGTTTAGAACTGTGGATTCCGATGCATCGGAGTTTAGTGGTTGGTATTTTATTAATGCTACTGCAAAACCTTGAAAATAAAGGCAACATCAGTGTTGATTAGTAGTGTGGTAATCTTGAAAATAATCATTGTTAATTAGTAGTGTAGTAATCTTGCTCCAAGGAACGTTGGTTGCGAAACTTTTGCACTGCCATTATTAGATGGACTGCTGATGACGTTGTCGTCAGCGTTCTTTCTATTTTATTATCACTATCATCGTCCTCTTTTCTAACTGGTTGCATCTCAGCAAACTTTTGAAATGTTGGTGGCTGATTTTATTTACGTTCCTTTTGCCAGCTAGTTTTGTTTCATTTGTAATTTTCAGAGCGATGTAGTTCGGTGGTACAGAGCCTCGCCACCAGGAAGGAAAAATGCCTTGCAAGTATTTTCACGCCGACCTGTTATGTTTATGGTCACTTGTAGGCATTATCCTCCTTATCGCTACAAAAAATTTACACCTATGTTCTACTGCCTGTCATTTCCATTTATCACTTTCGAAACTTTTTGTGTTTGTGTGTGTTTTTTGCGTGTTGTGTGTGTTTGTGTGCAGGTTCAAATGTTGGCTGTTGGTATGCAGTGTTAAAAGAATCATTTGAGTAATAAACCTGTGAACGATGAACATGTGAACGATGAACATGCGGATGATGAACATGTGGATGATGAACACTTGCTTGTATTAACACACACATGTCTGTTTCTTCAAATGTTAAATAAGAAAACAAAACAAAAACATTCCAACACAATTTGAAAGGCATCAGGCAAATTAAAAATGTGAAGGCATCACGAAAAGGCAACATTTGATTGCAGCACGAGGCACGATGAATGAACAACAACATTTAAATGCACCCGTAAACATAAAATTGTTTAAAAACTCAACTTGAAAAAGTAGATACATTTAAATAGGGCTGGCGAATCAGCTCAGACGGTAAAAGTGCCACGTTTCGCGTTATTGTTATTCCGCGATTACCGGGTTCGAATACTAACCGAAACTCAAAGGCTATCAAAAGCCTTGTGTGGTGTGGTGTAGTGCTTATGTGTGCACACAAAACATCGATGTGTTACAAAAGTTTGAATGTGATCGCACCATGCAAACTTTGGTACAAACAGGGAAGTAAATAACATCACCAGTTGCAATGTCAGCAGCACATTCAACAACATCATCAACACATAAACACAGTCAACATCATCTGAAACATCAACATAATCATCTTTAACAACAACAAAAACAACATCAGTAACAACATGGTTATCAGCAACATCAACAACAGCAACACCACCACCAACACCAACAACAACAACAGCAACAACACTAACAACAGCAGCAATAACAGCAACCCCAACAAAAGCAGCAGCAGCTGGAAAGAGCACGTGAAGACATGAACATGACAGTTTAAATCACTTAAAACCAGTCTCTGCCACGCTAATTTTGACATCCAAACAAACTGACAGCCATGACGTGTGGACACAAAGAACAAAAACTAACAATCGAAACAATCATTTATCGTTACCATAGATAAATTAGCGACTAACAAGTGAAAGAGAGCAGTCAATAAACTCCATAGACATAAAAATCGTCAACTGTATTGTTCCCAAAGAAAGAAAAATCGTAAAACTCCAGCCTTAGCCATAACAAAGAGCCCATTAAACGTGCGCTTATTGTTCTAGGGCCATAGATAATTTGCGAGTAATGAGCGATAAATAAGATGATGGCTTCTGCAATGGAAAGATAGTCGAATAAATATAATTCTCTGTATCCTCGAAACTAATTTTGCACTTGGAGTTTTATATTTCAAAATATGTGCGCGAGTTGCAACGTGATGAATTGATGTCACGTGCGTTTTCAATGTAATGAATTGATGTCACGTGCGTTTTCAATGTAATGAATTGATGTCACGTACACTTTCAATGTAATGAATTGATGTCATGTATTATTTGATTCATTGAATAATGTGTAATGTGATATATTTGTTGACGTATTAAAATGATTTAACGATGAATTCTGATGAATTGAATTGATGTAATGTAATCTTCCAACACATCTCTAGGCACCAACCAGCGAGGCCGACTGCAAAGACACTTACCACTAATTCATTCCAATCGCCAAGAGTCGCTCCAACATTCAAAACATTCACAAAGTACTTCACAACTGTCAGGACCACATCAACATCAACAAAAACAACACCAACAACTACATCAACAGCATCATCAACAACAACAACAACATCAACATCAACAACAACTTCCCGACAATTCACGGCACCATCTGCAAAACCCACAAGCGCAGCTTTTTTCGCACATTAACAACTCATATAATTTGACTCCAACATTTGCTAACAACAACAACAACATCAACAACATCAACAACAACAACAACATCAACATCAACAACAATGAGAATGGGAATGAAGGCGGTTTCAACAGTATAAACTGCAACAGCAGCATAACATCAACAACGCAGTAGCCGCCGCCACAACGACCACAACTTCAACGCCGCCGATGGACTTCAGAAATTACATTTCGCCGTTTTTTTATCACTTGCAGCAGGCGTACCTGCGATCGCAGCAGCAGCAACAACAACAACAACAATACCAACATCAGCATAATTTAGGGTCGAAATATTTGCTGGAAAGTGTGTTGCAGCAACAACAACAGCAACAGCAGCAGCACCAGCCACAACACGAACATAGAAAATTCTACCAGCACCCACTGATCCATCCGTCACTTGCCCATTACGGCACTAAAAAGTACAGCAACAGCAGCAACAACATTATTAACACAAATGATTTTGAAAAGACAAAAGACGACGACGACGACGACGACGTGATGACGTCACACAACGACACTAAATCGCACGTGGATATATTGCCGGAAGATGAGGCCGATAATGATGACGATTGCATCGGTGTGGAGAGCGTCGGTTTAAAGACTTTAGAGCGTAAAAACTTCCTGTTACACCACCACCACCATCACCACAACAACAACAACAATGACGTCATCATCAACAGCAACAACAACAATGAAAACGATCACGTGATTAGAAACAACTCA